CCTTTACCTGGTTAAATCAGGCATAGTCACTTTGCAAAATTTAAAGTGGTATCTGTGCAAAATGAGCTGTTGGCAGTTGACGGTTATGAAGTGCAAACGGAAAAGTCGAAGGCTTAATTATTCAAATCAGTATGAAAATATTAAAAACTAATGAAGGGTGTTTTCCTTGGTGTTTTCCTTTCACAATTTGAAAATAATATATAGCTTTAGCCAGGGCTAAAAGCAAAGCTCTCGATATTATTTATAGTTTGTTCAAACAAAATATAAAATCGTGTAATGCTGAGCGACAAAGGCAACGCCGGAGAAGGGTGAAAAACAACAATGGGACTAATTAGCAAAAAAGCAACTTTGCACGTGCAGCACACCTTTTTGTACATTTCTTTGCCGTTGTTTTGCACGACTACAGTGAAACTTCCAGAAACTTCTTAATTAGTTACACAGTTTTATGGAGGAAATATCGTACTTTCCTCGTTCACTTTTTTTCACTGCTGCTCATTTTCACCTTGCATTGGTGGCCGCTAGCATTTCTCATTTTGTCACCGCCGGAACAAAATTTTCATGTTGTTCTTCCAACAATTAAATGTCACCTTTTTTCTCTCTCTCTCTCTCTCTCGCTCTAGATTTCTGTCGCCCTTTTTCTCATTGAGCTTCGCTGGCCGACCGCCTACTGTCTCTTTTTCTCTGTCTTTCCTTTGCTCTATATTCCAAATTTGTGAACATGACAATTAATATAAGCTTAATACAGAGATAAGGAGATACGGATATGGATACAGAGACAAGTTTCGCCCTCTGTTTTCGTCTTCATTGACTCTTTAGCAGTCTCTGCTTCACACGACGCGGGTGGCTACGCGATTTGCCGTCGAAATAACCTCGACTTGCATTTGGGTTGCTATGCCTGTTGATTGAGTTATTTTGCATTGGTATACCTGTGGTGCTGACGGACGGTAGGGCGATCGTTCGGTTTACGGTCACGTGATTACCAAATTTTCTCGAATAAGTAGTTTACCAGATTTTCTTACCCATGGTGCTCCGCTGCGAGCGCTTTACGCGTGAGAACTCCACTATGAATGTAGTATTCCAATGGGCCAAAAAGTTGCGGTTGAACCGATTTGTCACAATTTTATTCGTATTCGTATACCGGAATACCACCAATCAAACGCACCTTAAGTGTCTGGCTTGAAAAAGTGAACTTGTGAATATGCTGTCCATCTCCTTCATACCACTACCGGATATATGGGTTCGCGCAAGCGTAGGGTATTGGCCATGGCCGCTGAGTTTTTCTTTGTTTGTTTTTGTTTTCTTCCCCTGCAGGGAGAAACGTCGGGCGCTTATTTGAAATAACGGCCAAGAAAGAGGATCGGATGTGGGGCGTATCACGGTAGGACTACAATGCGATGGTAGATTGCTAGTAGACCCTCAGGCTTCGCAAGGGCGAGCAAGCCAAGCAAACGCGCGAGAGAGAAGACGAAAACAACTCTTCTCCGCAGAGGCTCAAAGGAGGAGAAATCCAATAACGCGTCATTGAACCTCTGCGGACTGAGGAGGAAAACGAAAACAAAGAAGACTTATTTTTTCATCTTCTCCCTCGCGCGTTTGCCTCGCTGCGCTCGCTCGCTCACCTGCGCGACAAGCCGGAGAATCCTAGAGGTCTACCCATATAAGAAAATCACGTGGTTACTCGTCGCCTTACTCTAACAGGAGTGTTAATTGCAGTTTTTGGTCTCATAAAGGGCGTACAGGGCGGAAAGCAGTTATTTTTGCCCATACAGATATCGCTTAGGGTAATGTGTAGCGAAATACATACAAAGAAAACAAGACCCCTCCAATGCTGTTTTGAAGAAAGCGAACAATCTAGACATCGTTTATGCAATTTGAATTACCCATAACTCCTTAGTCTAAATTGAAGTTTCCGGAAATTAGATAACTGTTAACAAACGTATTGTGACTTTTAGGGGTGAAATAAAGCCCAAGCCACGCCTACTCGCCCATATTAGGTTTCCTTTAATACCAATGAGCATCGCTAGTGATGCTTTGGGGCTATCCACCGTATTGATGCATGAATTGAAAGCAAAATCTACAACACAAAGCCAACCGTCACTTTTAGTTATTATAACTTTTAATGAAATAAGGGTAAAATAGAATCCATAACCTCTCGATCACCCTAAGCCACTCAAGTGAAATTATGTAAGCCAGTCGTAGACGTGAAAAGAGAACTACATTACAAAAGCGCGTTTTAAATAATTCCTTATTACAATTTTTGTTCGTCTCTTTATATAGTGCTTTTAACATCATGGTCAAAACCAACATAAAGCTAGCAACTAACAAATTTAGCTTCAAAAACCAATAACGTTCAGTCATGAATGTATCATATCATTTAATGCAAAAAAAAAAAACTTAAACTATCCATTGGATAAATCGCTTTCTAGAAACATTGACCTATTTTACTTTAAAGAAGTAAAAAGGGTAAAATGACAGCAGGCGCAAGCGCGGACAATCTGGCAAACCAATCATAATCAAAGACATTTCACGTGGCATGACAGTTAGGTCAACCTGTGCCAGCATTCTATCGTTCTGTCATCTAGATAAGTTTCCATTTTGTCGATAAAGGAAAAAAATATCTTGAAATCGAAAAGCACTTAGAGTGCGACCATTAGTCTCAGAAAAAAACAATTAAATATTTATATACAAAAAATCTTACACCGAGTTAACAGTCTTATGCGTACAACAACAATTGAGAAAAAATCCTTTTGTAAATGGTCGACCCCATAGCAATGGAAACAGGTTTACCTGAAAGCCATGCCCCATAAAAGTAGTAATAGAACACTAGCCAATTTACTCAATCAGTAGACTTAATCAATCAAAATCTTTACCATACAACTATAACAGTCGAACTGGGCATGTTTTGACCATTACTACCTGTGCCGTAGTTTTGATTAACGTTTGTTTCTGGGCGTGTTCGACTTACCGTATTACGGAATATAAGAATAGGTGGAATGAACTCTTGAAATCACTCATTTTAGCGGTCATTGCTTTGCAATAACTAGACATCTGCTTGAATAAGATATCCCGATGACTGAAGCGTTTAAGTGGCCCAGAGAGCACGGTGATAGATATTTGCTACAAAACGTTTGCGTGTTCTTATTCCGGAATACGATCAATCGAACGCACCCTCTCAGTTGTTTACTCTAATTTATCCATTCTCTCTTCTGCTGCTGCGAAGCACACTTATTATTCCAGCAAAATAATGCAATAACTTAACGTCTTAACTAACTTCCTTGAAAATCCAAGGCCGCACTTAGTAGGAGCAGGAACGAAAGTGACACTGGAAACACTCTGTTATGGGTTTACAATGACCACGTTCTCCAGGGATTCCCTTGTGGTCGTGCGGATTCTTGTTAACAGTCTTTATTTCCTATTGCTCCTATTTAATACCGGTTCTCTAAATCTCCAAGGTTGTCTTAATTAACGCAACCTTAAAGCAGTAATACTAGATTCAATCTTGAACTTCGGGGGATAACGAGAAAGGCACCATTCAGCCCAGAAGGATTTCAAATGACGGGGATGAACAGGGAAAAAGGAAAACCCTAAACATCCCTAGGGCTTTCAACAACGCCCCCTCCCTCGATCATCCCCGTCATTTGAAATCTGTAGGTACTCCCTCCCCAGCCCCCAGCAGTTCGGCCGCAGCTTGTGGAGAGACATTTCGTCAAATCCTTGAGAGCAAAAGGATTGCTACAACAGTGATACACTGCAGGTGCTGCATTTTTTTTTTTTTCGTTTTTACCCGAAATTAACGCACATCAGCTTGAACGGAAGAGACAGTTGATTTTGATATAAGGCGGTCTGGATAGGCTGGATGATAACACTGCGTAACAACGGGATGGGAAGGTCAAAATAATACCTAGTGTCTCCTCTAGTGTCTCTTAATGAAAAAGTCTTTTTGTGTCTTATGAAACGAGTTTGTACAGCATTTCAGATCACTAGTCACCAAGTGCGGTCGTTTAGTTGATGGAGTCCATTTCTTAAAAGTTGGTTGCTTCATTTAATTTATGTTTCTTAGGCAAATGGTAAGTGTAAGGCCAGCATGTTGTCATAATCACACGTCAGTCTCTCGATCCGGGGTGGGGTTATTAGAATTGTTTTTTCCCTTGCTTTCAAAATACTGTTGAATCTCTTCCAATGATTTCCCTTTCGTTTCTGGTACAAAAAAGAAGACAAACAGGACTGCTAAAAACGCTAGACTTCCAAAAAACCAGAAGGTTCCGGCTGCCGTGAACGCTTTGAGAAGACCGCTAAATGTCTTTGTGATCACAAATGAACAGAACCAGTTAAAAAGGGTGCAGATTCCACTAGCCCTGCCCCGGGCCCTCACGGGAAAGATCTCACTCATGATCAGCCAGGTACAAGGACCCCACGCCATTACAAAACCAACGATGTATACGGCAATGCTTGTGACCGCTAACCATGAAATCTCGATACCAGGGTACGACGCGGCATCGTTGATCGTCATGAAAAAGTACGCGCCCATTGCGAAGCAGCTGACGAACATGCCTGTTCCACCGACAATAAGTAGAAAACGGCGCCCGCCGCGATCGATCATGAGCAGAGATACCGCTGAAGCGAGGAACTGGATCAAACCTATCAGAATTGATACCATGGTGCTTTCGTTCTGAAATCCAGCTGTTTGAAAGATTGTAGCGCAGTAGAACATAACGGCGTTGATCCCTGTTGTTTGCTGGAAAAAATGCAACGCCATACTGATACAGAAGGGCCGAAGGATACTTGGATTTAGAAACTCTCTGAATGACATCTTCTCTTGGTGGTCTGATAAAAGCAACATAAATGATGGCGTATAAGATAGACCATAATTTAAATTTTAAATTAACTATTTTCTATTTAGCGGGCGTGGGCGGGCGTTGAAAAACGCGTAAAAGATAACGCCTATTCTTCAGGCTTACCTGACAAGAACAACCTGTTGTTAAGAAGAAATACTTAAGCTACGATGAATTACCTAAAAACGTCTCTTTAATCTGACAGTAGCGTCATGTGTTACACATAAGTAGATGCTTACCGAAACTCTCCTTAATCTCTTTTATCTCGCCTTCAATTTTAACATTCGGTCCTCGGAGCCACGTCAAAGTTCGTTCGGCGCGTTCCTCCTTGTTGTGAGCCAGCAACCATCGTGCGGTTTCTGGCATGAAAGACATGAATATAACCAGACACGCTGGAGGTCCCACTCCTGCTATGGCAGACCAACGCCAGTCCACAACATAACCAATTACGTACGACATTAGAATACCAGTAACGATTCCAATTTGGTTAAAGGCTCCGAATACTCCTCGAAGGCGACTCGGGGCAGTTTCGGAGATGTAGACCTACAAGGAAATGTCAGATTTCATTAGCACTAACACTGATACTATCTAACAAGAAACCTTTATTTTAAGAACAATCTAATCTGAGTAACAGCTTTCATTAAGAAACGCTCGCTCGGTGATCCTCAGTGATATGGTCGTGAATAAAGGGAAAGCGGCGACTGAAATTTGATGGCCCAATCTGGTCCCGGTTACATAAGCAAGTTTACTCAATCCTGGGTTAACGGCAAATCAAGCAAGTAAGATGTGTGACCTATAAACTACAAAACAGCTCCTATTTTTGCAGAGTTTTAGGACGCGCACAAGTGATCACACGAAAGGTCTGGAGTGAGTGTGAAAACGAGGAGTTAGAAGAAGGCTAGCGGCCCGCTTCATGCACAAATCTCACGCCGGCGCTTAGCTAAAAATCAGCTGTTTTACAGTCAAAGCAACCTACGATTTGGGACAATTCCCTTCCGACAACTCAGCTTAAGAGTTAAACTTACCGGAACAATAAGCGATGCCATCCCAACACCTAGGCCAGAGAAGAACCTTCCGGAGTTCAAAAGCGCCGCGTTCGTTCCAAAGCCAATTAAGAGCCAGCCGCCAGTGAATGGAATAGCAGTAATCATAAGAGCGATCTTGCGACCGACGAAGTCAATCGCCCAGCCTCCGACTGGGCCACCTATCATTGCGCCAATGTTGAGAAGTGACTGTTGTTGAAAGAAAGTTTCCAAAATTGATTAGTGTTACTACACGTCACATACATCTAACTGCAATAAAGTTGTCATTGAAGAATGCTTAAAGGCATGATAAAAAATGCTATAAGCCAAATAGGAATTAATAAGACTTAATACTCCTCCGCAATAGTCCACTATAGGATGCGTTTTTATTACTTTTTATATTTATTTGCACCATACTAATTCGCGAGCAGCCATCGCATTTGCATTTGTTTTTACACGCTAAAAACCCTATTGGCATAGGCTATGCATAATGAAGAAGATCAATTTAGGTTTCTAGGAAACTGCCCACCAGCCCCTCCCCTAAGTCAACATTAACACTTACTTCTCACTTAGGGCAAGAGGTTGGGTTAGGGGAGGGGTCGGTGGGCAGTTTCCCAGAAACGTAAATTTATCCTATGAAGCCATAGGCTCGATTTTCGCCGCTCTCTTGGTCTTCCCCGAGCAAAGACGGCGACTGTTCGCAAGTGGGGGGGGAGGAGGAGTGCGGGGTCATTTCTCGAACAGCGGCTGGTATTCGAGTCTAATCTAGGTTTATTAGTATTAAAGCCTAATTGATATATATTTGGCTTTCTCCTTTTCCTTTTTTTTTGTCATTTTTCCTCTTGGAAATTTTCCAAGACAATATTATTGCAATAGAGTATTTCCCTCTAATCATTAGACTCAACGCCAGCCTCTGTTGGAGAAATGAGCCTGCGCTCCTCCCCACGGTTGTAAGGCTCTTCTCGGGGACCGGTTCAAGATCTCCCCCGAGAAAGTAGTGGAGATTGAACCTAGTAACCTATCATGCAATTTGCTCCATTTTAACTCATCGTTTTAAACATAGTAGAGAAGTTAGGGTTATGGCTATCTTAGATCCCGTAGATCCCGTATCTGAACACAGCAGACTAAATAAAACCCTAAAAGCTTTCTCATTGGTTTTAGCATAATTTGTTTTGATCACTGAACACTGTTGTTATGTTTATGGCTACCGTGTCACGTCGATGATGTGCTTGCATTTATACATTTTTTATATTTTAATTAATCTCTCTAATTTCAGTGCTAGTGTTGGGCTCGTTCCAGCTGGATTGTTATCTTTACTGTAAAGACGGATTTAATTTACTTCCGTGTAAGACGATTATGATAAACTTATATGTGCAGATGGCTTTACTGTTCTCAAACTCTGAAACCTGCCATAACAGAGCGCTTGAAATCGTTTCAGTCGTTAAAACTAAATTTAGTTTTATCGACCTTTGAACTTCTGTAAGGTACGGAAACAAATAACAAAAGTTTGAAACTTATGAAGTGAAGGTAAATAAATTTGTTAGTTCCTCCTTAACTTGCATTTATATTGTTTCATTAGAACGCAGTCCTTTGCCTAAGAATCTGAGCCGTAAATGAAACACGGTAAGTCGCAAAACGAGTTAGCACTCACATGATTTAGAATCAAACTGAACTGACCAATTATAAATAAGGGAAGTTTATGGAGGGGTAAGCAAGTTCAAGCGGGGTCACATTAAAAACACGTTTTGTCCAAATACTTTCGTGTTATGGGTCCATTTGCCAAAATTTCAGAATCATTAAAAGTCGTGTTTTTCTAACAAATTAGGGAGGGTAAAGGTAAAAACATAGTAAAACGGGAAACAGGAAGCGGAAAGCGAACTCGCGGAACTGGAAAATGAACTAATAGCTTAGGCAAGAAAATCTTGAAACTTCCCGAAATCTGGCGAATTTTTTTACCGTTTTGAGATTACAAATAATGAGGGAGAGAGGGAACCTTGTGTTAAAACAAAAATATATAAAAAATAAATAACGCACAATTTGCATTTTTTCCCTACTAGCGACGTGTTAGATTTGTCTTGGAGCCTGGTAGTTTGGTAGTTAGTCCATACACGTTCCGAACTTCAAAAGGTCGAAGACGAACAGTAGTATCGCAAAACGAGAAACAAGGAGCCCCGCTGGCGAAATTTAATTAACTATTGTTCATCAGAACAAAAGCTAAAAAAAAAAAAGACAGTGACAAACTTGTGATTTTAAAAACAGTAAGCAAACACGAGGCAACTTTTTTCTTTCACAATTTCAGACTGTCGATTATGTAATCTCGGATGTAATGGGCTGACAGCGCATATAATGGAAAGACGCTGCTGCATATTCTTTTTATCAGTTTTATCTATTTTGGGATACTTTTTTCTTTTTATTATCAATTTAATTCAATTTTTCTTCATTTACGTCGTGCGTGATGGCATCCCCGTTGGAGAACGTTTGACTTTTGAATAAAGGTTAAACAAGATTGCATAAAATAATGTGCGTGAATTGCTTCTTACATTCTCAAAGCGCGAGAAGTATTGAGTATATAATATTCAGTCGCGTTTCATAAAGAAGTTAGTAAACCAAAGGATAAAAAGACGCAAATTCAATAGAAAGTTCGAGAGTGAAAAAGGACGGTTTCAGACCTTTTTGGCTTAGTAAGGTAGCTATGACACATGGTTTGTTGACAGTGGTTTCCATGGTTACGAACATTCTTTTTCCTTGGCGTTTGTAAATAAGTGAAAATCGTGACATTATAAAAGCTTAATTACATCAAAGTTTCAGAAGAATAGCTTTGAAAACTTACTTTATTTTTTCAAACACAATTTCGATATTCAAATTGCAATAACTGAAGATGGCCAACATTCAGACTACTACGCGAACACGAACGTATGCGACTCCCAAACTTAATATATTTTCCTCAGAAAAACGTAAATCACAAACCGCGCGGTGATGAACGCTGTAAAATTAAACATATTTATATCAACTTGATATAAAAATGCTAATCAATATACATTTTCAAAAGTGACCGTTATGGTTAATGACAAAAAGTTTTGAAAATTGCACGTTGACGAGCATACAAAACGTCAAGGTGATATAAAAATGGGTAAGCGCACCTACAATGTTCATCGCCGCTGTTTGTGTTTCACCTTTGATTAAGCTACGATGTCCCGGAAACAAAAGTCCTTTATTCTCCCATATTTTGTATACAGCGAAACATTCTTAATGGGAGAGACGGTCCTTCGTGCGGGTATCCGCTCGTGCAGATTTCACTGCACTGACGTACAGGAACACAGGAAACAAAACCAGGGGTGGGGTAAGAGCTTGCTTGTACCTTACAAAAATAATCTCGCAAACGTGACTATAGCCTATGCGAATGAATTTGCCTTATGTAAGACCCAGCTGTAAAGTTGAATACGGAAATTACACTCGCGTGATAAATCAACGTCATTCATTGTGAAATACTGACCAAAGTTAACAAACTGTGTGCGGTTTTTTTTTCTCCTATGGGAGATAAGAAACCTTTTATGGAATATCCCTCCTTTCACGGTCAGTTTTTCTTCTTCTTTTTAATATTTTCAGGGATATTTTAAACGAAAAAGGCTGTTTTGAATAAAACTCGTTTTACAGTTTGCGATTTCACAAATGTTGATGACCAGGATTACTCCAAGTTTTTGCATGAGCTAATTGGAAAATTCAACAGCGTTAGTGTCGGTTTAAATAGTCAAATGAAAATATATAGTTCCCTGAGTCCTGGTAAAATTTATCGTTGAAACTGTACGTGTCTTTGTTTAATGACGTGTAAAAAGGAAATACACAGAAACTTGCAAAAGTTGGCCTTACGTTTTAAAGTTTGATTGGGAAAATCGCTTAAAGTCCTTTTGTTGTTGTTATTATTGTTGTTGTTGTTTTGTTTGTTTGTTTTTTTTCTACTGGGGTTTTCTCTTGGAACCTCATAGAGGATCTTTCTTTTTGTTTTCCGGTAAAGCCATTTGTGCAACGTTATAATTTTTGGGGTAAACTTTACGGGAACTTTCTGAAAAGGAGCTTCCACGTGATAAATAGGCGCGTGATATCGTATTCAGCATGGTAGGTCGGTCAGAATACAAACTGTCATCACCGGGAAAAGGCAGGTCAAAGAGTCACGACATCACGAGTGTTGTATCGACGACAAGATTAGGTAATATATGTAGCAATGATCGCGAAAAATATTTCGCTAAAAGCCACTGACGAATTTACGATATGATTTGCAGTGATGGTATAAATGCTAATATGTTTTTCCAAAGAGTTAAATACTAACATTTGTAAGGCAGAAATTTCACTGACGTTTAGCAAAAAGCATATCTCTATGTCTGGCTTATCTCCATGTGATTACGAATAACACACCGGATTTAACTGACCCATTAACAGAGCATTCGGTGACGCATGCACTTTTTTTCTCTCTGCTTAGATCCCTTAAATAAAGATAATGGTCTCATCCTAGAGACTAACTATCAACGCCATAAAATGACGCATTTTTTATCATATCCAGTTGCACCACGAGAGAGTTATTCTCTTTTGTTTTCACACAGCAACGCCAGTGGTTTGTCAACCCTGAAATCATATTTAAGTGGCTCTTAAAAGAGTAAGCGAGCTGGTACATCGCAGAGCTGAATGCGAAAAAGACTAAGGAAATTGAAGCATATCGCAAGTGGTATCGTTATTATGTGTTGCTCAGAAACGTTGTGAGTAGTGAAATGGCTTTTACCATCTATTTCATATGATTTCTTTCATATTTTCGTCTTTTACATTATGACGTCTTTAATCTTCTACCTTAAGTCAACATATCCGGTTGGTCCGATAGATTTGTGTTTTACTAGTTTTGATTTAAAAACTTCTGAATCAACATATATTAATATTAGAGGTACTTTATATTAACTTTTTCCTTGCTGTGGAACTCTGGAGAGGTGCAAGTTGGTGTAAAGATATCAGAAGCAAAGGTCCGCGAGAGAAAAGCCCGCCAGGAGTTAAGCTTACTGATTACCCGCATTTCCGCACTCGATATGGCATTTACAAAACACGCTATCTTATTTATCTCACAGAAAAGAGCACTCATATCTAATGTAATACATAAGAAAAATACGCGAGTTAAACTCACCCCAAACCAAGTGATCTCGGCCTCATTCAGATACAGATCAGTCGTATTGACGTCCGATAGTTGTACCACTGCGGCAGACGAGTACCCCATGCCATATCCAAAGCTGAATGGGCCAAACGCTGCCACTAAGCAAGCAATTAAAACAGCCCATATTCGTTCGTTGTTTTTCTTGGGATTATCAGACCCAAAGTTGTAATCGAAATAAACGTCTTCGTCCTTCATGTTTTAACTTCCAACGATGGATATTTTTTTTCAGCGTATTTCCTGTCTATCCTTACAGCGTCACTGTATGCATTTGTTTGACACGGGAGGTCAGTATGGGTATTTATTACAGCTTGCACGTGATCCTTTGCGCTAGATGAGTGTGGTACAGCATCGATGCCTCGTGTGATGATCGACTAGGTGGACACAAAGAAGGCGGCGCGTGACGGCGCGTGACAGTACGCTAAATGCCCAAAACATTCATTCATTCGTTTTTTACTCCGGAAAACCTTCCTTTCTCGTGATTTTCTCAGGGAATGTAGACCGTTCTACAGGTTCGATATTCACTTGATTTCCTGTAGTGTGAGACACAACGTGACAGAGGAATAAATCTTGATTTCACCCCTCCCTCCCCTCCTAAAAAGCCAGTTGCATTATGGATGGATTGAAAAACGCGTGCATGAAGAGGTAAAGTAATCACATCATGTTTTCCATCCAAGGCTGACAAGCTTGATCGTTCATAACGGCTTCCAAGTGTTTAAACCAGTACAGGTCGCTGCCTCAATGGAAACGATCCCTTCCCAGGCAAGAGTTGTGTTCAATATTTTCTTTCCCTTTTAATTTTCCTTTGTGTCAATAACATTTGATTCACTTTTACAGTTAAAAAAGAAAAGAAAAAGAAAACAAATGATTTAATCAAGGGTAGACTGGATAAACTTTTGCATAAAGACACCCTCATAAAACAAGATCCTCTTTTGACACGGAGAGCCATTCCCTTTGTCCCAAAGACGCTGTAATAAATAACTAACAAATCACCACCCTTGGAAAGCGGTCTCATATTAGCTTTCTCCCTTTGTTCAGCAGTGTTAAGAAGGTCTGACTGTAATTTGGAAAACAAAAGGCAAAAACTTTTAAAACTTCTGTCACGGCCCAGAGCACGTGTTATTCATGTGTATCCATCAGACGGTCTGTTAGGCCGAGATACCTACAAAAAGGTGAAGGGTAAAGTGTTCTTATTTTACCTCGGTAACTCGAAAAAGACATCTCATCACTAACAAACCTGAGTCCGACGTTGTGCTCATTTGTGTGATTGTAACCGGTCCGCTACTGTAGAAATGAAAAACGGCTTTCAAAAAGGTATGAAGGGAAATGTGCCTTATTTTTACGTCGGCATGCAGCTCGAAATAGGCATTTGATCAACAAACCTGAGCTGAGACCGACGGTGTGCTCATTTGTGATGGCTATTTAATTAAAGAAGCTTCACACCAAGTTTAATGTAAAAATTAATTAAGGTGGTCACAAAGTCAACATTTCTATCATACTTACCGGGCTTACCGGCTCGCTCATTCTTGTAAACTCTCTTCTCTCCTTCACTTGATTTGAATTTCTTGCAGGCCTGAATAAAAACCGACCTAAATTTGAATAATTACTTAAGCTTGGACAATAGAGCTCTCCCTTGGGGGAGTCACTATGGAGCTCTAATAGGAACGACAACGGCGACGGCAACAAGGACGTCAAAAAAGCAATAGGTTTATTACGCAAAACAACAACTTGGCTTTGCACGTGCATCACGTTTTTTGTACATTTCTTTACAGTCCTTGCACGACCACAACGTGAAAATGCCTAATTGTAAGTTTATGGAGGACGTAAACAAGCGACGACGAATCTCTTTTTCCCTCTCTAAACCTGAGTGCAGACCTGAAGAAATCAACTCCAGGGAAATTCGCCTACATTTGCCATTTAGAACAAATTGAAATAAACGCGACAAAGACTGAAAAACGGGGAATTCATTTTAAAATTGACGTTTCCGCTACCGTTCTTGTCGAAAGCTGCAANTTCACTTGATTTGAATTTCTTGCAGGCCTGAATAAAAACCGACCTAAATTTGAATAATTACTTAAGCTTGGACAATAGAGCTCTCCCTTGGGGGAGTCACTATGGAGCTCTAATAGGAACGACAACGGCGACGGCAACAAGGACGTCAAAAAAGCAATAGGTTTATTACGCAAAACAACAACTTGGCTTTGCACGTGCATCACGTTTTTTGTACATTTCTTTACAGTCCTTGCACGACCACAACGTGAAAATGCCTAATTGTAAGTTTATGGAGGACGTAAACAAGCGACGACGAATCTCTTTTTCCCTCTCTAAACCTGAGTGCAGTCCTGAAGAAATCAACTCCAGGGAAATTCGCCTACATTTGCCATTTAGAACAAATTGAAATAAACGCGACAAAGACTGAAAAACGGGGAATTCATTTTAAAATTGACGTTTCCGCTACCGTTCTTGTCGAAAGCTGCAACTTCAGGGATTATAAATGCGTATCTCGAAATGGCGAAAAATAAAATACCTCCTGCACGACTGCGAGAGAGAAACAAATAAACTATGATGACTGCAAGGCCAGCTCTTACGGTAATTAAAGGGCACTTTTAAAGACACGCATTATTTCACCAAGCTGAACTACATTCAGATCTCTCGGGACCACCCCTTGAAAGCGACCACCTCCTGCCGACCCTCCTGCCACCTATCGAGAAGAGACCACAGGTCCAGAACACAAGAAGTTTTTCAGTCAAAACCCTGCTTGTTCAGGGGCACCGTACGACCGTTTTCTGTAAAATATCTGTTCGGCGAAGCAAATATTGCCTGGGATTTTCTATTACTTGAGGACGGCTGAAAATTTCTAGATGACCGTTCCACTCTAGAAATTTTTGGGCAGGCAATATTTGCTTCGCCGAACAGATTTTTCACGGAAAACAGTCGTGGGTGCATCTGAATACAGATTTGACTGGGAAACTTTTGGTGTTCTGGACCGGTAGTCGCTTCTCGATAGGTGGTAGGACAATTTTCCAAGCGTATCTAATAAATTCCCCACGATTTTCTGAAGTTTAATTTTCACATTTCACTCCCAAGTTAGGCTATTTTTCGTGGAGGACCGTAGAGAAAAGGAAACCTAAAATTTTCGGACTCAAAAATACAATGAAGAGAAATCAGAAACTGTCTCACTTTCGTTATATACGTCAAATTGCATCGAAAATTTTTCGGGAAAATAATACTAAAGCCCTTGTAATTTCGAACGGACTCAAGTTCCCCCAGGATGACCGAACAGATACAAATTTTATAGCGCTGCTTAAAATGCATTTCTAGACATCTAAAATTGAAAGTACTCTGGGTAGCCTAAAAAGTGTCATCAATGTATTACTAAGGAACTGCCGTCGTTGAGTGCCCCTGCCCATCGTTAGAGAGCGACCGAGGCCACTTTTTGGGCTCACGGTTTTATATGATTTTCCATTGTTTTTTAAGCTCTTGTAAGCGACCACTTCACGCACCTGGTGTAATAAATAAGTAAAAGTAGTCTCTTAGTTAGCTGTATGTACTAAGCCACTCAGAGTATACGAAGTACTTTCAGTCACGACATTATGGGAAACGTCTACATATCGCGGTAACTTAGACATTGCATGCAGAAAATGCTTTTCCAAAAGGTAGATGTGCTGGGGACTATTCTTGGAAGAGACAACAACAGCTGCCGGCCCAAACTCGAAATACTTGTACATGACTAACGGCTCTGTTGCGTAACCTTGCAAATATAATGTATGGGGAAAAAACCGATTGTAAAACTACACTAAATCGGCTTGGGGATAACACAGGAATTTTTTTAAAGAAAAAACACACGACTTAAGTGAGGTTAGCCGATTTTTATTTAAATCCTTTAGAAACATTGTTTTGTTCCGCATACAAATCCTTATATTGTGAAGGTTACGCAACCATGTCGATGGTCATATTTTGAGCTTGGGCCGTCTGTGAGACAACCTGCTGTGGTTCGATTCTCGTACGCGGCGACCACCTGCCGTAACACCAAGAAAACCTTAGGATTTTAGGTGCTCACCTACAGAAGGTCACTCAATTACAGTGACGTCTGTAAAACAGAAAGAAACCAGGCAATTAGACTACTGACTGACTTTTGTTATGGTTGATGTGGTTCCCTGCATATAACGTTTTTGCGGTTTTCCATTCAATCAAAAGTAAGTTATAGTTTTTGTAAGTATCCTGATATCACTAAAATGTCCTTAAAAGACAGCCCTTCCCCTCATCCAGAACAGAAATTAGAATATCATAACTTGGCATTATGGTTCTCCATTTGTCTTTTCTAACAATAGTGTTTCACTTAATCTTGAATAAGTCTCACCTCTACTTCATGATACTCCCACTCCACATAAAGACCTCCCCCCCCCCCTCCACACACCCTATCCAACTCAAACTTGCAAGGGAAAATAAGCTTAAGAAATGGAAGGCGGCTGATAAAAACATCACCAAGATGTCTCGAAGATCCCCTGGGTAAATGACTGGTTATGCCAATCACAGTTAAAGAGCCAGAAAATAACAGGATAAATAGCTGATAACGAATAAACCTTTGCATGCAATTCAAGACACCAATGCATAAGGCAAAATAATATGGATGAATTACAATAAAAGAGAAATGGCCAAACATATGTAGACAAAGTTTACAATTCTCCGCGTCTATTGATCACTCCGGGTTCAAAGGTTTGATCCCTCTCTAAAAGATGCGTTTCAATTCTCGCATCGGGCTCTGCGTTCAGCTGAGAGTATGAGTTCCAACGGAATACGCTTTATGTCGGTAGATGAATGATCGCGAGATAGAAAATGGTCTAAAAATGCAGTGGATCTAACTTCAGGAGCGATGGGCCTGTCCGGCGGCTTCTCATCGGTGTTCGTAAAGTGTTGTTAAGTCTCTTTTTGTCCCTTTCAGTTTAGTGTGGATAATAATAATAATAATAATAATAATAATAATAATAATAATAATAATAATAATAATAATTTAAACATATTTATGCAGGATTGCTGCTTCAGTTTTAGGAAAAAAACTGCTATCAATGCAGGTCCTGTAAAAAATTAAAAAAATATATAAAAATAAAAATAAAAAAGATTTAAAATATAGATAAAAATCAAATTACAATATTACAAAATAGTTACACTAAACGAAAGATCGAACAGTTATAAATTCAGTTATAATAAGCCTCCGAAATTTATGCAGAAGATTTTCAGCTAGCTTCAGCTCATGGCATACGTATTAA